CTCTCTCTCTCTCCCTTCCTGCCTCCTGCTCACCTCCCTACAGTAAAGATCTCCTGCCGGACCTCTCGGTGCATGAGTGGCATAATTGGGTAAGGGGCACCGGAAGGGGGCTCGAGACCCCTTTCACCTCAAACATCTGAGCTTGCCTTACAAAGGGGGAAATGCTTGGAAAGAAACAGATGACCCTAAAGGATGATCAGTAAGACCCCTGGAGCTGCAGAATTGTGCAATTTTGTACTGTGAAATCCTTCAGCATGAGGTGTGGGGGTTGGGGGGATAGCACCAAAGCTAAGTCCCGATAACTGAAAGTTTATCCTTCACCAGACCCACATGCAAGCCTTCAAACCCCCATCCTAAGTACCTCTCTATGAAGTGGGCTCAGGATCTCACTAATTTACAGATAAGGGAACTGAGGAGCAGAATGACAGCTGCTAAGTGATGAGGGAAACCCCTGGGCACCCCTTCCAGTGGGATCTAATTGAAGCATATCTGTTATGGTTCAGATCTATAATGTCCCCCAAAAAGTCTCACACGTTCAAAGGTGGGGCTTTGGGGAAATGATTGGATTCTGAGGTCTGTAATTCATCAGTTTAGTCCACTGAGGAGATCATAATTGGATGTCATTGTGGGAAGGTGATGAAAACAGAAAGGTCTAGTTGAAGGGAATATATCACAAGGGTGTGAACTGAGGACTAGAGCTGGTACTCAGCGCAGTCTTCTCAGTCTCTTTTCCTTTCTCTTGCTCCATTACTACCACGAGGGAGCAACCTCCCCCCACCTCACCATCTTCATCACGTTTGTGCCTCACCACAGGCCTAGAAGCAACAGAGTCCAGTAACAATGGACTGAAGTCATGAGCCAAAAGAAACCATTGCTCCTCTATGCCGATCTTCTCATATATTTGGAAACAACAACAAAGAAGCTGACTAATACAACGTCAGAGTTCCAAAAATGCCATTTCATAAATGATGCATGAATACTGGGCAGACACCTGGCCTGGATGGAGAGGGAAGAGATGAAAAAAGGAGGTATGAGGGTTGCTTTTTAAAAATGCACCCATAAGCAGTCTCTTGTCTACCATATTACTAACATTGATGTTTAGTTAATGGCTGTCTTTTTTTTTTTTTTTTTTTTTTTTTTTTTTTTGAATTCTAAGGGACAGGGCTTATATTCTAAAAGCAAGGTTAATTTGATTGTAATTGTCTACCTCTCTTTGGTTTGACATTTGAGTCTTCACTAGACAAAAACAGTTTAAGATCCAAAACTGTGAAACAACTACATAAAATACACTTTCAGCAAAACTGATTTGTCTCTCTTCAGATTCCTCTAATGTGCCTTGTCCATGTCACAGACTTTGACACTTAAATTTATTTCCTCTGTCCAGCTGATTTCCCCCAACTTAATTTAAACCTTTCACAGAACAACTAAGGGCTTTCGAAAGGAAGGCTAAGAGAAGAGGGCTCCAGTGATGGAATTCAGGAAGCAGGGTTAGCTTACCAGGAGTACTCAGTAAGAAAGGGCTAAGTATTAGGAGAAAGACACCTGTAGATATTTCCAAGTACCAACGGGTAAGACCGCTTGAAAGCAAAGTTAGGAATTAAAAAATCCTATTGGGTAGCACTATAACTAGGATGCAACAAAGCCACCAAGAGACACTTTTCATTTTACCATGTAGAGGGCTTGAACAAAGTCAGGCTCATCAGAAATGTGATTGGCTTCCATGAAGGGGAAACGAGACACCATCACTGGTGCAGGAAGATTCCAGCTAAGATTTGGGAGGAGGTCTGTGGAATAGGAGGTACTAGTAGATTAGACAATAAAGTCATAGGCATTTAAAACTTCATTATCTATTTCAGAAAATTGTGAAAGGTTATATTATGAAATGTGAATGCATGGATACTATCCTATATATGGTGTTTAAAGAAAGATAACAAAAGTCATCTATTTACCAACTACCCCGCTGAAGATAAAATGTTACCAGTGCCTCAGAGACCTCTGTATGCTCCTTTTTTGTTGTATCCCTTTCTCTCTCCAAAAGGCAACCAATAACTGGGATTTTTTGCCTTCATGTTTTGTTCTTATAATTTTTCCATATATGTCTTTACTTTTAAAATACATTGTTTCATTATGCCTCACTGTCCAAGTCTCTTATCAATGAACTTTATAAAAGTAGCACATCTTTTTGTCTTGCTTTTTTAAAACCAATATGGCATTTTAGATGCTCACTGTATGGAATGGGTAACCATAGTTCATTCATTTTCATTCTCATTGAAAGACTTAAAGCACGATTTATTCATCTTCTCTACCATTCATGAACATATGTTTCATTATTTTTCCCTAATACTATGGATCATGCTACTCTCAATATTCTTGTACATGTGCACATATTTCTCTAGGATTCATCCTTAGAGGATATAAACAGCTAGCCTGATGGTTAATTTTATACATCAACTTGACTTGAAACTGAAACAACAGATTCTGTGTTGAACGTGCCAGCTTTTGGACACTAGACTCTCTTTGTTCACTATGGTCTTCGCAAACATCCACTAAGTCCAGAGGCTGTGTTGGGCACTGTGGAACAGAATGGAAATAAGGAGCTCCTGATCTTTGTGGAGCCCTCCTTGATGTCACTTGTCTCTGACTTCCCATCTCTTCCCTGGCACCTTGTCGAACTGTCCTACCCTACATGAGCTTTTCCTCCTCATCGTCCCGAAACATTCACACTCTTGCTTCTGTAACCCTAAATGAGATTACCATATATCTGATATTAGTCTCTGTTGCTCTCCATGAAAATTCCATTTCCCTAAACAATGTAAGTCATCCTGAGGATCATTGTCTACCTTTATCACATGTCAAGCTCTTCACACAAGCAAAAAGTAGAGAAAAAAAAAAATGGACACAAGGGGACACCTGATGATTGGCTTGGTGGAGGTGAAAGTTGGTGTTAGGCTTTTGGGAAGATCTAAATTTCACGTTTTCACTTAAAGTAATGGGGACAGACCTGATTCATACTGCACTCTGAGAAAAAAAATCAATGTCCTCCACGAGCAAAATAGGGCGATTATCATTGCCACTATATGAATACTGATGGCACCAATTGATTGTCTGCATGCTTGTTATCCACTTTGTGGATTATCTGTGGCCACACTGATGTCCTCAGCTGGTTGCCCCCTTTCTGCCGGCAGCCTTCAGCTTGGCTGCAACGCTGGAAGGTATCCAGGGAATGCTGACTAATTTAAACATCAGCTTGGAGCAAAATGTAATTAGGAAGATAAATCTGTTGCAAAACTACCACATAATGGTTATTCGATACCAAACGACTATAGCATTATCGTGCATTGTTGGAGCTGAGCCCCGACTCTGCTCACCTCACAACCATGAATAGTCATAATTTTATTATAAGAAATAATACTTTATAACAATATGTAATTGTCCTCAAAATAAACATATCATAACCTAAACACACCCTGTGACCCAACAATCCAACTTCGATGTATTTACCCCAGGGAAATGACAAATGGCATTTATATGAGAACTATACCTAATGTTTAGAGTGACATTACTCTAAATAGCCCAAGCTAAAGCCAAATATCCTTCAAATGGTCAATGGATAAACAAACTATAGTTTACCTGTATGATGTAATTGCTATTCGGCAGTAAAAAGAAACAAATTACCGAGACCTGATTCAACACAGGCAAAATTCAGAAATATTAGGTAAAAATCAAACAAGCCAAACACAAAAAGGTACACACTGTGTGATCTTATTTTCATGTCACTCCAGAAAAAGCAAAATTATATAGCAACAGAAAACAAATCAGTAGAAATCCAGAGCTGCAATTTGGAAAGAAGTTGAGTACAAACGAGCAGGAGGGAATATTTTAATTTGAAGATGTCCACAATATGATGTGTTGATTGTGGTGATGGGTGCTCAACTGTAAGAGTTTGTCAAAACTCATAGTACTGTATCTTGAAAACAATAACTCTCACTGTATGTAAATTATACTTTAATAAATCTTATTGAAAACAAGTTTTCCAGTTCCTAAACCTCACTTGTTCTATCCTTCCTAGATCCCCTGTGCAACATCCGAGAGAGAAGAGCTCTCTTCATGGTACACTGATAAATCTCCCCAGACTCAGGCTGTGACACAGGCTGGCACCACCAATTTCTGCTTATGCCATTATGGCTTTTTAAGTTACTCACCAAAGTTCATCATCAAGCCTTCAGGGGGAGTGATCTAGATAGAGCCTCCTTTTTATGCACTTTTATTTTAGTAACTTGAAAATAAATTAAATTCAGGGTTTTTCATTTGCATCCGGCATTGATTTTGATAAAGTAGCTTAAATTAGCAGAAGAATCACACACCTGTGCCAAATTTTCATATCAACCTCCTCAAGGCTCTGAGTCAGGCAAGAATTCACATCCCCAAATGATCTCTTGTTTCATTATGCACATTGATATGAAGGAAACATACCACATTAAAAGATATAAAAAATAAAACAATCAAAGAGGCTTGCACTTATGGTTGTCCTCTTACATCTGATTATACAACTCTGAGAAGACAAATGTATGTGAAGTTGGCCATGAATATGTATCAAAACCATTTCTAACTTTTTCTCATGTCCAGCCAATGAAAGTGTTGGTCATTTCAGACATTCAGCAACAAGCCTCTTGTTCTGCATATCACAGCACTTTACTGATGAAATTCCACCCACAGTTGCAGTCATTTCTGAGATTTTAGGACCTGGCCTGGGAAGCACACAATACACAAATATGAGAAAGCTGTGGGCTTTATCCTTAACTAAATTAAACATTAGCAGAAGAAATAGCAATGAACACAATGATCTATAACACGAATAAAATTCAATCAACAGTGTAATATGAGATCCCAAAAATTGGGTAGATTATTTTTTAAAGAGAAACTAAGAAAACCTCATGAAAGAGATAGCACTGGTTTGGTTAAATTTTCAACAGACAGTAATGGATACAAGCATTCTCTGAGTGGTGAACAATATGAACAGCAAGGGATGGTATATAATATCACAGTGAATGAGATGAGGGCAGGTAGAGCTGAAGGATAAAATGGAGAAATGTATCCTGCAAATACTGTGGAGGACATGAATTCCAAGAGGACAGTGTAGACCAGAGGAGCAGCGGGATAAGAGACCACCTCTATAAGCCGGGAAGCTGCCATCCTTCCTGAGAGGCAGAACAAAAGAATGGTTTAAAAATCACAGATAAGGGGGTGAAGGGAGGGCAGATACAAGGGGAAAAATGAGAACCAAGACCTGTCATGTAAAGGTACAAGATCCCATTGATGAATGTGACTTTACTGTATACCTAAAATGTACCAATAAACTCAATAAAAAGAAAAAATAAATAAATAAACATCTCTGATAAAGTGGGCATAGTGGTGCACACCTGTAACCCCCACACTCTGGGAAACCGAGGCAGGAGGGTCAAAAGTTTAAGCCCAGCCTGGGCAACTAAGTGAAGGCCTGTCTCAAAATATGTACAAAAGGGGGTCTGGGGCTAGGGATGCTGCTCAGTGTGAAGGCCCTGGCTTCAATCCCAGTGTCACAAGGGGGAAAAAGTCAGTGAGAAGAGCCAAGCAATCCTGTAGTCAAGACCTCACCACCGTCGCCCAACTGCTGTAGCAGAACTCCATCTTGACCCATATGCAGCAAATCTCTATACAGCAGATGTCTTTTCTTTGCTATTTGGGCTCTGATTTATTTGGGCAGCTGTTTGTCCATCTTTAGGCAATAAATTAATAGTAGGCTAAGATAACAACTTTCAAAATCTAGCCCACAGGCTCTGGGGTGTCCCTGAGACTCCTTCAGGGAATTTTTCAAGAAATAAATAGTTTCCATAAAAATACTAACATTCTTTGCCTTTCCCAGTGTGTAGTCAAAGCAGTGGTAAGTAAAGCAGCTGGGAATAACAAATCAGGGCACAGGTGCCCAGCATCCATTACCGCATCACCTTTGTCACCGTGTGGTGCCAAAAAAGAAAGTATCTTTGGTAACGAAACAACAAAAACTACTAATAAGTTTTTTCTACTCAGTCTTCACCCTTGGGAAATACCTTTAAAATAATATATGTGACAAAATTAGAAGTGTGCATGGAACACTTGTAGATATGCCAAGGGTCTACGGTTGTCTCCAGGACAGAAAACCCACATTTGTTTGAGTTATAAGCTAAACTAACCACTTTTCTCCTTCAACAACATTTTTAACTAAAAGAATAGTGGGTAAAACATGGCCATTAATACATAGACATTTGGCAGACAATATGAACCTTACATTGTAGGGAAAATAATTAATACTATTTGCTAAGAAAGATAAAACATGAGCTTTCAAATGAAAATTAGTTTAAAATTCCCAAAATATGAACACTTTTGTGATATTGTAGTACCGGTGAATATGATTTTTATTGAAATATAACAATGTTCTATAAATCTTCATTACTCATTAAGGCAAGTGTTTTGAAATGGCCAATACATGGTATTATAAAATCATACATGTATATAAAGCTCTTTTAAGTGGAAAAAAGAACCCAATGGAGTCTAATAAAACAGTATAAAAATATTTACTGGAATGATTTTTATATTCCATTTTGCAATTAACTCTTAAATAATTACTACTTAGTGAGTTTGGATATAATAGCAAAGAGGAATAGTCACAATTACCTGAAAAGACTGCTAAATTATCTTCAGGCTGCATTGTTATCATCCACTTCCACCAAAGCAACATACAGCACAGTTTGAATACAAAAGTGAGTATGAGAACCCAGGTGTATTCTCTTAAGCCAGATATTAAAGAGATTTATAAAAGCAACATACTACCATTCTTTTTGCTAATTTTGTCCTGAAAAAATTTTTTTAATAAAAATATTTAACCTTAACATGTATTTTACAGTTGTTTCTATTTAATTAATAAACAATTTTAAATTTTATGTTTTCATTTTGAATGTGATAAATATCATTACCCATAAGACAATGTAAACAAAGCACTCTGGGGTCCTTAATAATTTCTAAGAGCAAAAACAAGTCCTGAGAACAAAGAGTTTGAGAATTACTCTTCTAAGCCAATTCAGACAACTGTTCCCCTTTGCCAGATAATCCCTTTCCTGTCTTCCCTAGATGGTGGAGGTGATGATTATGATCTAGCTCCAATGGAGAAGCTGTAAAAGGGACTTGTCTGGAGATGTGGAGAAATGACTTTCCTTCCTGAGACTAACAGAACAGTATACAGAAAGTTGTCCTGCCTTTTTCCTTTCTACTTTGGGTGCTATTGGATGAAAGTCGGATGCTTAACCTTTGTAACCTTCCTTCAATGCATTCCTGACTTTCTGCATTGGCCAGGAGAAAGCATCAAGGGAACTTGGGCCTGTGCCATCACTGAACTTTGGGAAGGCCTGCTTCAGGATTTCTCATGAATCAAACAGTCAATAAGTCCTTCCATCAGTTTAAGCCATGTTAGCCAGGTTTTGGGAGGATTCCTAACATACAGCACCTTTCCTCCTAGGGACATCATGGCAATTTAATAATGCAGATAAAATACTTGTGATCATTAGTTGTGATGCTTCAGCTTGGCTGGATTAATAAATGCCTAACAGATTAGTAAAGCACATTTCTGGGCTGTCTGTAAAGTGTTTACAGGGGTGACAGGCATGTGGGCCAGCAAACTGAAGGAAGAGGGCCACCTCTAACTGTGGGCTGGATCAATGGTTCTATGGCACAGGTAGAAGAAAGGAGGCAGAAATAGGAAATCTGACACGTTTTTGGAGCGCTACTCTGCTTGAGCAGGTGTATTTTTTGCTGTTGATGTTGCCTACAGATATCAGATTTTGGTTTATTTGGCTTTTTTAATGCAGACTTATACCAGTTTCAGCTTCTCCAGCTGAGCAGCTACTGGATACTCTGGCTCTCCGTCATAGGCAGTCACAGTGGATTTTCCCATATCTGATTCTGTAAGCCTATCAATTAAACCTCCATGCATAATATCTCTGTGGACACTGTTCCTCTACAAAGCCCAAACCATAACAATACTTTAAAGAGTGCTGGACTTAGAATAAACACTCAATAAATGGGAATTATTATTATAGATTCATTGTAAAAATCAAAGAAGATGATGTGTGTACTGTATTTAGCCATGCTTTGCTTGCATAGAAAACTATAGATGAGAAATCTTTTGTGATGATCTTTACATGTGAATCTGACTCATAGCACACAGTTGAGCTTATTTTGTCTTGCATTTTCCCAATTGAAATAGCTGGATAACTGGACAGTTTAACTGCTATTACTATAGCAAGAAGGAAATCAATGTTTCTTGATGGCCAAAGAGAACTTCAAAGGAATTCACGTTATATTTTATTTGCACTTGTCATACTCCAAAAAGCAAATCATGCAAATTATCTATAATTTCAGTGAACATGTAGCTACTTTCTACCTGAAACACTGTTATTTTGAGGTGTCACTTCACTGATTAGACACTTAGCTTTCACGCATAGATAGAATGCTAACCACCAGAAAAACTAGAAAACAAACTTTCAGAAAACTGAAATAACAATAAAAGTACTTTTTCAAATATCCAAAAATAGTAGAAGGGAGAAAAATACAAGTGGCAGGTACACAGGTTAATATTAGTTGAAACAAAATTAAAAAGGCACTAATGGATCTCAGACCCTAGAGTCAACAGTGATGTTGCTGTCCCACAATCCCAAACTATGTCTGAAATTTCTATTGGTGACTAGAAGTCATATTTTACACTCACCAGAGTATGCCAAAATACCACATTCTGGGGAATCTCCTCTTAAAAAGAAATTTTACATACTCAAGAAGACTTAGGTATATGATACTTACCCTACTCTAGGCCACTTGTTTGTTTGCTTGTTTGTTTGTTTGTTTTGGTACAGGGGATCAAATTTGGGACCTTGCATTTGCAAGGCAGGCAATGACTCCACTGAGCTAAATCCCTGGCTGGGGCCACCTGTTTATTTTAGTAAGCTGTTGATGTCTTGCTCTGGGAAAGTTTTCACCAAGGACATTGTTTTAGTTACTTTTCTCCTTGCTGAAACAAAATATTCAACACTCAAAGTTAAAGCAGGAAAGGTTTATTTGGCTCTCAGTTTGTAGAGGTTTCAATTCAGAGTTGGCTGGCTCCAAGGCAGGATGGTATGGCAGAGGAGAAACAGTTCATGGTAATCAGAAGCCAGAAGGCAGTAAAGCAGCAAGCCCAAGTGACAAGCAACAAGCCTCTGTCTGTCCCTTGCAACAGTATCACTTTCACTCAGGGTGGGGCAGCCTTAATCCTAACATCACACCATGAATCAATCCAAGCATCACATCCTTGATCCCAGCATCACACAACCTAGACCCAGCCACTTCCAAAAAAACCACACCTGTGACTGCATGAAGTTTTGTGGAGACATCTAGATACAAGCCATAACAGTCATT